GCATGCAAGGCAGGTACTTATGCCGCTGAGCTAAATCCCCAGCCCCTCCTCTCGTGTTTCTATGAGCATCATTCTGCATCCTTCATTGAGTTCTGGTGCTCACACTGGGCCCAAGGAAAGGGGCTCTCTTATGACTTGGTGAGAAAATTTGAGAAAGTCCCTTGCTCTCAGAAGGGTAAGATCTCCCAACTAACTGGTCAGAGAAAGGTCTAAAGTCACAGTAGCAGCCACACCAGGGTCTGCTATGTTATGAAACAAACCAGGTGGCATCCTTCCACACGCGAAAGGAAGTGGTATGGCAAGTGGTATCCCGCCAGGTGAAGAATGGGTAACATAGTGTTAAGACCACCCAGCCAGAGGCTGGGGATTTAGCTCAGTGGCATAAGCGCCTGCCTTGCAAGCAGGCAGTCATGAGTTCGATCCCCGGTACCCATAAAAAGGAAAAAAAAAAAAAAATCTTTGATATAAGGGGGCTGGGGATTTAGTTCAGCGGCATAAGCGCCTGCCTTGCAAGCAGGCAGTTGTGAGTTCGATCCCTGGTACCGATAAAAACGAAAAAAAGACAAAAAAACAAAAAAACACCCAGCCATGCTGAGGGTTCCACAGGTTTGGAGATGCTGGCAGGAATGTCCTCACTGGGTCCATAAAGGGACCCATGGGGTATGTCTGTCCCCATTGTGAGAGGCTACAGCCAAAAAGCTGGGGTGTGGTCAGAGCCAATAGGGCTCGTCATAAACAAGGCTGATACTTACAGCAACCATATTTATTAGTTACAGAATACCATATACAGCTCATCTCTAAAATGGTCAGTTTAGCTTTGTTGTTTGGGTTTTCAAGACAGGGTTTCACTATATAACTCAGGCTGGCCTTGAACTCATGGCAAGCCTCCTGCTTCAGCCTCCCAAGCACTGGAGTTAAGCCACAATGCCTGGTATACTTCAAATTTATATGCTTCTTTTTCTTCTGGTACTAGGGATTGAACCTACAGCCTTTGCACTAAGCTACTTCTCTAGCCCTTTTTACCTTTGAGACAGGGTTTCACTAAATTTCTCAGTTGCTGTTCTGCACTTGAACTTGCAAACCTCTTGCTTTAGCCTCTCAAAGTGCTGAGGTTATAGGGATATGCCATCTCACCTGGCTAACTTCCGGTATTTTTAATTTCTGATGTTTATTTGGATATAATCCTATTGTATTGGGCAGCATATCTATACCACAAAAAAGTGTATATGCTAGTATGGTGTTGTACACATTTGTGGTTTTAGTTACTTGGGAGGCTGAGGCAGGAAGTTCAGAGGGGCAGCCTATACAACACAATGAGACCCAGTTTCTAGAAAAGAAGAAACAAAGAAAGGAGGAGAGGGAGGAGAGAAAGAGAGGAAAGAAATGTTATAGAAGCTGGGTGTGGTGATAAATGCCTCTAATTCTAACACTGTGAGAGGCTGAGGCATGAAGAATCCAAGTTTGAGCCCTTCCTGGGCAACTCAGCAAGGCCTTGTAAATAAAAAATGAGGGTCTGGGTTTTAGCTCAGTAGCATAAGCACTTGCTTGGCAAGGTTGGGAGTTTGATCTCTGGTACTAAAAAAAAAAGCAGGGGGGTGGGCAGGTATGGTTGTACGTATCTGTAAACCCAGCACTTGCAAGGCTGAAGCAGGAGGATGATCTTGAGATTGACATGGTGAGAACCTGTCTCAAAAACCAAAGAAAGCCTGGCAGCGTTGTGCTTTTATAATGAAATGCCCAGAGCAATTAGCATCTGAAGAGAGGTTTATTTTGGCCTACAGTTTTGGAGGTCCTTATCCAAGATTGGACAGCTCATGGCTTCAGCCCCTGGAAAAGGCTGCAAAGGTATCAAGAGCCCATGGTAGACAGCAATGTGTTGTGCACCCATATTTACAGCAGCACAATTTGTAATAGCCAGATCCTGAAAACCTAAATGCCCATTAACTGAGAAATGGATAAAAAAGATGTGGTATTTTTATACAGTGGTGTACTACTTGGCCATAAAGAAGGATAAACTGGAGACTTTTTTTTTTGAGACAGGGTCTCACTATGCAGTTGAGGCTAGCCTTGAGCTCACTTTGGTAGCCCAAGTTGGTTTTGAACTCCTAATGATTCTTTTGCCTCAGCCTTCCAAGAGCTGAGATTATAGGCATGCACTACCACAATCAGCTCAAATTAGAGACTTTTATAGGTAAATGGATGCAACTTAAGACTATACTTGTAAATGAAATAAATCACATGCACATGGGCAAACATTGTATTGTTTCAATAGTGTGAGAAGCTGAAAGAAACAACAGATGTGTATGTGTATATAAAAAAGATAGTTAAGATAGTTACACTACTGAAAAGATTTGTGTTGATATTCTTTGGACAATTGAATGCTGATATCTTGTGCTCTGGGTCAATGATTTGAGGACAACAATGTACAATGTATGTATTGTTGTTGCCCTGATTGGTGAGTTTTGAAAAAAATTTATTCTCTTTGAAATTAAATGGCGGGACTGAGGATTTAGCTCAGTGGCATAAGCACCTGCCTTGCAAGCAGGCGGTCGTGAGTTCAATCTCCGGTACCAATTAAAAAAAAAAAAAAGAAAAAGAAAGAAAATGGCTTTAGGAAAAAAAAAAAAAAAGAGCAGAGTAAACTGCTTACAGCTCCCGAGGTTAGAAACAGGAGCCGAGGGGCTGGGGATTTAGCTCAGCAGCATAAGCGCTGGCCTTACAAGCAGGCAGTCATGAATTCGATCCCTGGTACCGATAAAAACGAAAACGGGGGAAAAAAAAAACAAAAAAAAACCCCCAAAAAACAGGAGCCGAGAGCAATCAGTGCCATAGTCCTCTTGGAGGGCAGCCCACCAATGACCTAAAGAACTCCTCTATAGGACTCCCAAGAGGCACCTCCCAACAGCACCTCACCTCTGGGGAACACTAGGTAATCAAACCACTGCAAGTCTGTGATCCTCATCTCACTGTGGTGAAAGAATGCTCGCCATCTCTGCTTTCCTAATCCACTTGGAAAGAACCTGCCCTGTGGACAGAGCATTTGTATTGGGCATGGTGGCCAACACCTATAATTCCAACACTCTGAGAGGCTGAGGCACAAACTGTGAACTCAGCCTGGGCAGCTCAGTGAGTTAAGATCCTCAAAAAAAGGGGGTGGTGGTGGTAGTGGCTAGGGACATAGTTCAGTGCAAATGCCCTGTGTTAAATCCCTAGTACTGGGGCTGGGGATTTAGCTCAGTGGCATAAGCGCCCGCCTTGCAAGCAGGCAGTCCTGAGTTCGATCTCTGCTACCGATAAAAACGAAAAAGACAAAAAACAAAAAACAAAAACAAAATCCCTAGTACTGCAAAAATGGATACTCACAACTGTATTACAGAGCAATGGACACTAAGTACATTCATCCATGTTTCTTCTTTTTTTCACCCATGTTTAAAAGGACAAATTCACCAGGCATCGTGGTGCCCACCTATAATCAGGAGGCTGAGGCAGGACTGCTGCCAGTTCAAAGCCATCCTGAACTGCATGGGCAGTTATCTCAGAACAAAAAACCAGTAAGCCCCCAAAACCTACAAAAAACAATACCTACACCCCCCAAAAGGAGAAATTCCTCTTTTTGTGGATGATACCTAGTTAAGTAAAATATTCAGTGTATCCTTGGGTTTTTTTTTGGTACTGAGGATCGAACTCACCGTTACTTTTTTTTGATTTTTGACACAGGGTCTCAACAATGTAGTTTAAGCTGTCTTAAATTTGAAGAGATCCTCTTGCCTCAGCCTCTCAAGAGCTGGGATCACAAGTATGTGCCACCATGCCCAGCTCCCTGAATTGTCTGTTAGTAACAGAATAGTTCAGATGAAGTTCCAAATGAATCACATGCTATCCAAACTTGCTTCTCTTGTAAGGCAGGAACAAAATGTAGATTACCTTTTTTTTGGTAGCAGGAATTGAACTCAGGACCTTGCGCTTGCCAGGCACTGTGCCACTAAACTGTATCTTTGGCCACCAATGTAGATTCTGGTGTATTGCACATCCCCAAGTGAAGCTGTCTCGAGCTTGTGGAGTGGGACAGTAAAGGATCTTCTGCAATGGGGAGATCTGATGAATATCCCAGATGCCATTTAACTTGCAGTAGGGAGGGGGTGTCATTTTGTTTTTCTAAAGCAAGTCTGTATCATTTTCCTATTTCAAATTAGCACATGAGTGGCAGGTTTTGACCATGTCATTCCCATACACATATGCTGGTAAGCATCTTTTAAGTTGGTTGGATTTTCAAAGTGTCAACTCTGAAGCCAGAACTGCCTACTACTAGACTCTAACGCCAGTGCTCTTTGGGGTACATAAGCTGAACCAGACCAATGCAGCACACCTTGTCTGCGTGGAACTTCTGTTTTTTTTTTTCCCAGTACCGGGGATTGAACTCACGACCGCCTGCTTGCAAGGCAGGTGCTTATGCCGCTGAGCTAAATCCCCAGCACCAACTTCTGGTTTTTTGGTCTTTTTGAGATAGGGTCTCAATCTGTGGTTCAGGCTGACCCTAAGCTCACTTTGTAGCCCAGGCTGGTCTTGAACTCCCAATGATCCTCCTGCCTTAGCTTCCTGAATGCTGGGTTTAAGGCATGAACCACCACACCCAGCTAATTTTGAGACATGGTTTCACTATGTGGTTAGGCTGGCCTCAAACTACAGTGATTCTTCTACCTCAGCCTTTTGAGTACTGGATAACAGGCATGTGTAACCACACGTGGCTCAAAATAATCTCCTATAGCTTAAAGGACAAGGCTGAAAATGAATTTGTGAATCATTAATTTTAAGTAAACATCTTGCAAAGAGGTCAGGGGTTGAATGGTCTCAAAATAGCCTCTTCGGGGCTGGGGATTTAGCTTAGCGGCATAAGCGCCTGCCTTGCAAGCACGCAGTCGTGAGTTTGATCCCTGGTACCGATAAAAAGGAAAAAGACAAAAAAAAAAAAAAAAAAAAAAAAAAAGCCTCTTCACAATTAGTACCCTTCACCACTTGTCTTTTATTCATCTGCTGTGATACAACAAACAAGGTCAGTAAATAGTGCCCCTGGGTCTTAGGCAATGGTTTTCCAAAAGTAGGGCATCACTTTCTCTGCACAGTGGTGAATGCTGGCATCTGGATGGGCTGGACTGGGTGGACAGGCTGGAACACTGGCTTCTTCCTCACTTCTGAGTGTGCTTTCACTGTTGGGAGCAGTTGATTCCTTTTGATGATCTGCAAGGCCAACTGGGTGTTACCTACAAAAACACTTCCATTAGTAAACAAGCACATGAGGTGCCAAGCAAACAAGTGGCCCTCGGGTCCAGCAGTGGAGACCTGAAAGAGGGGCAGACTGCAGTGCTGGTTGGGCCTGGGAGTTGCGACTTTCTGACTTCAGTGATGGATGGAGGCTTGGACAGTGATAGGTCTTCAAACTTTTTTCTCTTTAGGGTGCTGGAGATGATCCTACAGCCTCATGCATGCTAGCCAAGTGCTGTACCACTGACTGGGGTGCATCCCAGTCCCTTAACAAGGGAAAAACTATCCCTTCCCTCTGGGTTTCCTTTTCTGAATCCCGCTATATTTGATACTCCTGATTCTGTCTGTGAAGAAGATTAAAGTATTGATTTTGAAGAGAAAAAGCAGACAACAAAAATTCTGACCTCCTTGAAGGGACACAGTGCCCTCCAGAGAGTGACTCACCATTCTGCAGTTCCAGGTAGACAGCCAACAAGATGGCCTCAGGGGGCACCTCCTTTGGGTGAATCATGGAAGCCGCCTTGCACAAATAGAAAGGCATTCATGAAACCCAGTGGCTTATAAAACTCCAAGTAATGACCAAAAAAAGATCAAAAACCCCCCAAACAACACTTTTCGTAGTTAAGTGGTTTAACATTTACTTTCTCGACTAATCCATCGTGAGTATGGTTTGTTTGTTTTTCGTTTTCCTTTTACAGAGCATTTCACTCTACGGCTGGCCTTGAGCTCACTTTTTAGCACAGGCTGACCTTAAACTTGCAGTGATCGCTCCTGCTTCAGCCTCCTGAGTGGTGGGCAGGTGTGTGCCCCCATACCCAGCTGAGTTGGTGTTTTTGCAGTACTGAGCATTGAACCAAGGGCCGAATGCTAGACAACTGCTCCACCAGTAAGCTACATCTTTGGCTCTATTTGTTTTGAGACAGACTCTTGCTAAATTGCACAAACTGGGCTCAAATTTGGGCTCCTCCTCCCTCTGTCTCTCAGAGTGCTGGGATGACAGAAGTATGCCACTACACCTGGCCCTACTGTATACACACAACTGATCTATATATAACACAACTGATACAACTATTTACATAAAAAAACCCTGGATGTTGGGCTGGAAATGAAACAGTGAGAGAGTGACTGCCTACCACACTGTGCGAGGCTCTGGATTCAATTCTCAGTATTGCAAGAATGAACAAAAATCTCAGTGTCTACCTGTTTTCATAAGTAATATCTCAGTATTATAAGCTGCAAGCAGTTATCAGTGTCAGGAGAAAGAGTTTAAAGTTTCTTTTTTCTTTTTCCTATATTGGAGATTGAAGTCTGGGACTTCATGCTGAGTTACATTCCAGCATCTCTCCTTTTCTGAAAATTCTGAGACAGCTGGGCATGGTAGTGCACACCTGTAATCTTAGCACTCGGGAGGCTGAGGCAGGAGGACTGCCGACCCAGTCTCAACCAGCCAACCAACCAACCAGACAAATAAAACCCCAACTTTTGAAACAGTGTTCCTAAAGTCACTTAGCTACCCAGGTGGGGTTTGCACTTGGGATCCTCCTGCCTTAGCCTGCCAGCATGAGGATCACAGGTGTGCATGCTAGTTGTTCCCATTCTTTTTTTTTTTTTTTTTGAGACAGGTTATCGCTCTGTAGTTCAGGCAGACCTTGAACTTGCATTGTAACCCAGGCAGGCCTCAAACTTGAAGAAATCCTCCTGCCTCAGCCTCTTGAGTGCTGGGATTACAGGCATGTGTCACCTGTCACCATGCCTGGCTTGTCTCCATTCTTCTACACAATAAAATTTAGTCACAAATAACTTACTGGTTTAGGTAACATGCTGCCCTTATATCTAAGAGCCAGCATTTTTCCTCTGGTCTAATACCAAGGGTAGGAAGCCTGGGTTGCTCTGGTCACAGGTGTGAAAACTGTATTTACTCCTTAGTCTGGGCCTCATGGACAGTGGCCTTTTCCTATCAACTTGTACTTCAACATCTAGTTTCAGTAGATCACTGCTTCCAGCTGCTCTGCTACTTTTCTTTTCTTTTTTTTTTTTTTTTTGTCTTTTTCCTTTTTATCGGTACCAGGGATCGAACTCACGACTGCCTGCTTGCAAGGAAGGCGCTTATGCCGCTGAGCTAAATCCCCAGCCCCTCCGCTTCTTTTTGGACATTTACTTTGTTTTGCTTTTTGTTTTTAGGGTCTTGCTATGTAGCCCACACTAGCCTTTAAACTGTGGTGATCTTCCTGCCTCAACCTCATAGGTAGCTGGGAGTATAGGTATGTGCCACTGTGCTTGGGTAGGCCCCACTTTATATGACAAAAGCATCATTAGAGCATTCTGTGGATATTAAAATCTTTTTCACCAAGTATGGTGGTGCCTTCCTGTATTTCACACCTGGGAGGCTGAGGCAGGAAGACTGCCTTAAGTTCGAGGCCAATCTGGGCTACATAGTAAGTTTGAAGCTAGCCTGGGCTACACAGCAAGGCTATGTCTCAAAAAACAAACACACAAAATCTCTTTTTCCTCTTAGAGTGGCTAGTAAACACAGGTCATTTACTGTTCTCTGCACTGACCATAGTATATGGCTTTTTTTTTTTTGGTCTTTTTTGTTTTTATCGGTACCAGGGATCGAACTCATGACTGCCTGCTTGCAAGGCAGGCGCTTATGCTGCTGAGCTAAATCCCCAGCCCCTATATGGCTTTTTCTAAGATAGGAATATACAGCAACAACTTTATTGGCACTTTGCTAACTGGCTATAAGGAATGGTCAACAGCCTTGGAGATATTTACCTCCATGTCTTCACATCACTGTTCTGCCTTCCTAGCAGGGTGGGCCTCCCAATTAACGAAGGCCCAGCCACTGGATTAACCTAGAAACCAACAGACCAAAACAAAAGCTCCTCCAGCCCCAAACCAGGCCTGATCCCATCTGTCCCTCTCAGCATGGGAGCAGCCATGGCCACCTGCCACCAGAGAACCTGAGTTATACTGAAAGAGCTGGGACACACTACACTTTAGATAGGAAGCTCTGTTCCCTATAGGGTGTGCTGTTCGGGGAACTTTAGTAGGGCTATTATATCCTCATCTTGCCACAAAGAACAGTTGAATATTTCAACTCTTGCACTCAATTCCTAGATAATATCAAATGTGTTTCCCTAGATAGTCTGTCACTTAACTCTTGATTTGGGATCAGAAATGCTCACTTAACATGCCACTAAGTTGACTAAATATCACGTAGTCTTTTCCATATTACAGAATCATCACTTTTTTGTTTTATTTTTTGAAACAGGGTCTTGTTTTGTAGTTCAGACTGGTCTTGAACTCACTAGGTAGCCTATGCTGACCTTGAACTCAGGTGATCCTCCTGTTTCAGCCTCCTGTGTGCTGGCATGCACCACCATGTCTGGCAACCATCATCAGCTTTAGGTACATCAAGGTCTCCTAATAGGAAGGAATTTTCTGGAAGCCACTCTATCTCCTGAGAGTAGGTTGAATGTTTTTTTTTTTTTTTTATCTTTTTATCAGTACCGGGGATCGAACTCACGACCGCCTGCTTGCAAGGTAGGTGCTTATGCCGCTGAGCTAAATTCCCAGCCCCCAGTTGAATTTTAATTGCAGTCAACTCTAACAGCATGTAGAACATGAGGTCTCTCATATGTTGTTGGTAATTATACTGTTTGGCATAAATGTCCTACATTTTTAGGCTTAACTTTTTGAATACCCTTTGACCTTGCAATTCCTCTTTAAGAAGGCATCTTCTACTTTTAAATCCATGCAACAATGACGCATCATGTCTGCTTAGACTGATCACCACATATTACCATGAAAAGAAATGTGCTACAGGATCTGCTGGATAACGTACTTTTTTTTTTTCTTTTGTCTTTTCCTTTTTATTGGTACCAGGGATCGAACTCACGACTGCCTGCTTGCAAAGCAGGCGTTTATGCCGCTGAGCTAAATCCCCAGCCCCGGATAATGTACTTTTGAGGAATCAGCCTTTTTCAATTCTGTGAAGTCAATGGAAAATGACTGGAAATGAAATCATGCCTGTGTTTTTCCAGGGGTGAGCAGGTGCCTAAACAAGACTAATCAGAAGTTTCCTTGAGGCCTGATGGTGTGCCATTTCAGGAGTGAACGCAGAGGTCTACTCTAGTTATATACTGGCAACAGTGTTTCTTACTGTGTTTGGAGTTCTTCTAATCTTGGCTTTCTGAATCCTTATCTCTGACAGGTGTTAAGCCGCTAACCCTAACTAATGTTGCAACTGTTGGTCCCTCCTTTCAGAGATCTTTTATGCAAAAACAGGAGTATAGGATGGGTGTGCTAGTGCCTGCCTGTAATCCCAGTACTTGGGAGACTGAAGTAATAGGACTGCCACAAATTCAAGGCCAGCCTGGGCTACCAAGTGACACAGAAATCCTGTCTCAAACAAACAAAGCAAAACAGGACTATACAGAAAATAGTTCATGGGCTAGGGATATATAGCTCAGTGGCACAGTGCCTGCCTGGCAAGCATGAGATTGTGAGTTTGATTCCCAGTACTAAACAAAACAACAACATCAAAAATAACCAGGTGTAGGGGCTGGGGATTTAGCTCAGCGGCATAGGTGCCTGCCTTGCAAGCAGGCGGTCTTGAGTTTGATCCCTGGTACCGATAAAAACCGAAAAAGACAAAAACAAAACAAAACAAACAAACAAACAAACAAAAAAAAAAAAAACAAAAAAAACCCAAACAACCCAGGTGTGGTGGCTCACGCCTGTAATCCCAGCACTCGGAAGGCTGAGGCAGGAGGATCATTGTGAGTTCAAGACTAGTCTGGGCTACAAAGTGAGCTCAAGGCCAGCCTGAATTGCATAAAAAGACCCTGTCTCAAAAAGACAAAACAGGGGCTGGGGATTTAGCTCAGCGGCATAAGCGCCTGCCTTGCAAGCAGGCAGTCAGTCGTGAGTTCGATCCCTGGCACCAATAAAAAGGAAAAGACAAAAAGAAAAAAAAAAAAAAAAAAACAAAAACCTGATTCATGCCTGGTTCTTTTTTTTTTTTTTTTTTTTGTCTTTTGCCTTTTCATCGGTACCAGGGATCGAACTCACGACTGCCTGCTTATAAGGCAGGCATCATGCCTGGTTCTTTTCACTCAAATGTGTCTTGGCAATCTTCTTATTTTAGTACAGAGTTTATAGCTGCATTGCATTCTACTGTGTAGAAGCACCATTATTTAAGCGGATTTGTTTGTTTGGTATTTTAAGACAGGATCTTGCTATATAGTGTAGGCTGGCCTTGAACTCACTATATATATATATATATATATATATATATATATATATATATATATATATATATACTCCCAGGTTGGCCTCGAACTTGGTGATCTTTCTGCCTCAGCCTTCTGAGTGCTGGGAGTACAGGTGTGCACCAATATGACAGGTTCAAGTTGTCTCTTATTTAGATGGTTTTCAACCTTTTCGGAATTTTAATTATTAACATCATCAGGAAAAAATCAACACTATGTTCATTGCAATGCTGACCAGCTGCTTCCCTTGCAGTGTATTTTTTAAACCCGGAGAAGTAATATTCCAGTGCTTAAAAAAGTGATCAGAAGCTTTGCACAAAGTCTGTGACACTCAAGGGCTTAAAACCCTTTGAAGATTCCCTGTTGCTGGCAGACTACAGGAAGGTGCAAAGCTCCATGTGGCCTCACCTGGTGCAGACACTTCCGGGCTTTGTCATACTCGCTCCGCAGGCAGTATGCACTGGCGAGGTTGAACAGCATCACGGTCCTGGCCGAGGTGACGGAGCTAGGGTAACACTGGGGAGCACGTTTCCCAGCTGCAGAAAAAGGGCAAATGCTAGGGCTCACTTGGGCAAGGGACAATGCCATTCCTCAGCTCAGCAAAGAGGGGCCTTTGAGATTTAGGGTTCAAACTTTGGGGTGCCAACCAGGCTGCCTTAAGTACTTATAAAACTTACTTACAGGATTCCATTGCTTCATTTTCACCCTTGTCTGACCCTGTAAAGATGTGAAAATAAATCTCAGCGACAGATAACAAGGCTTATTTTCTAAACATCCAGTTCTTTTTTTTTTTTTTTTTTTAATCAGTATCAGGGATCGAACTAGCGACTGCCTGCTTGCAAGGCAGGCGCTTATGCTGCTGAGCTAAATCCCCAGGCCCCAAAACATCCAGTTCTTATGAAACAGAAACCCAATATAAAGCAATCTGTCACAGTGCTGACTTTCCATGTAGTGGCTTCTTTGAAAAGAACTGTCAAAATGCTATCACCCACCACTCCACAAGCCTGCGAACTAAACTTCCATAGTAAATGCTACATAATTTCACTTCCACTAAAACTTAGCCACGATACAAACAACTTGTGAATGTAGTATTTCTATTACTTCCTCAGTTGTGGAATCTGTTGAAGAAAAAATACAGTATCAGAATGAAATGGAAATGAATTCTCTTAGCTAGGTATGGTGGTGCACACCTCTAATCTCAGCACACAGGAGACTTGAGGCAGGAGGAGGGCTGAGAGTCTGAGATCACCGTGGGCTACAAAGTGAGTTCTAGGCCAGCCTGAACTGCATAAAGAAATCTTGTCTCAAAAACAAAAACAAACAAAAACCCCAAAATGAATCATCCTAAACTAGTGGACAGCAGCACAAGCCATCTACTCAGAAAGCTATCAGGAGGATTTCTTGAGCCAGGAATTTTACTATTTTCTTTTTTTGTCTTTTTCCTTTTTATCGGTACCAGGGATTGAACTCACGACTGCCTGCTTGCAAGGCAGGTGCTTATGCCGCTGAGCTAAATGCCCAGTCCCGAGTCTGGGTAACAATATTCCCTGCTCCATGATACTAGGAAATGAATCCAAGGTCTTGTACGTGCTAGAAAGCCCTGTACAACACAGTCACATACCCAGATCTTTTTAAAATTTTTGGGAAAAAAAAATTGAGATAAGGTCTTGCCCAGGCTAATCTCAAACTTGAATATTCTTACCTCAGTCCCCAGAATAGCTGGGATTATAGGTGTGTCTCACCCATCCAGCCATTTCTTTTTTCTTTCAGTACTGAGGATTGAACTCAAGACCTTGTGCTTGCTAGGCAGGTGCTTACTCTGTTAAGCTAAATCCCTGGTCTTAGCCAGTTTTAAAAAAGAACAGAACAGAACAGAACAAATCCTAATAGTATCAGCCTTTCAGAATGAGAATTTAAACTTTAATTTCAACTTCCAGGTAGGAGACATGGACTGGAAACACTTTCCCCTTCATAACCTTGCCCTTTAGTTTCTAAACGCTGTGAATTATAGCAAAAAGGAAGCCTAAATGGTGAGTAGTTTTGATCAAATGCATCCCCATTAACCTTGGTCCTGTTCGTTGGAAGAGATCCCTAAGGAGACATCGGTGACATTCTCGGGATTCAAGTGAGTAATGGCATCTGATATTCTGTCCAGGGAGATAAGGGCTTCTGCTGCATACAAATAGCCCAGAAACCTGAAAGAAAAAGCAGACTCCAAACTGAAAAGTGAGTCATCACACAAATGCCCAATGTAGAATAATGTTTAGGTATATCATGCTGTTACACACTAGGTATGTATTTTGTGTACTTCATGTCCCTTGACTGAAATCTAAATTTACTTATGTTAAGACACTCAGATGAATTAAGGGCCATTTATATGTTCCCTTTACAAACATTTTAAAATACATTATATTAGCTAAGTAAAACAAGGCATACATATCAATTAAGAAAGCAGTTCCAAGCTAACAAATTAATGTTGCTTTATTTATTTAGAAAATACTAACACTAGGGGATTTAGCTCAGCGGCGTAAGTGCAAGCTTGGCAAGTGCGAGGTTGTGAGTTCGCTCCCCAGTACCAAAAAAAAATAGAAAATACTAACACTAAAATATTCTAATGTAACAGACAGGTTTTCATGCTGGATGTGGTGGCACACACCTGTAATTCCAGAACTGTGGAGGCTGAGGCAGAAGGATTGCAAATTTGAGTTTCACCTGGTCCACTAAACAATTTAAGACCCTGTCTCAAAAGATAAAATGGGCTAGGAATGTACTGCAGAAAGAGAAGAGGGAGAAAGAGACACAGACACATACCACAACCATCCAAGGATGGATGCCTATGGGATAGGGCATCAGAATCAGTTTTCTTCACTCTCTGCTGTTGGAAGAGTCAGAAAGAATCAGGGTGCCAGTAGTCCCAGGCTGGACCAGGTTTGCAACTTTTTACAACATGTACTTTATGTCCATTGATGCTATGCCAAGATGTACATCCTCCTGGCTTACAATAGCTTGGTTCTTCCAGTCTCTCTATCTCCCTCTCTTTTAGAAAAGGCTGGTCTTGAACTTGTGGTGATCTTTCTGCCTCAGCTTCCTGAGTGCTGGGATTACAGGTATGCACCACCACACTTGGCAAGCTAAAAGAGGAAACTCAGGGCCTACTTCCTGAGTGACAAGTCCATCCACATGGGTCTTGGGTCCTAAAATCATCATTTTTTTGCTTTGTCTTTTTTTTTGTTGTTGTTTTGAGACAGGGTTTCGCTATGCAGTTCAGGCTGGCCTTGAACTCATTTTGTAGCCCACAATGGCCTCAAACACACAGCAATCCTCCTGCATCAGCCTCCCAAGTGCTGGGAATGCAGGCGCATTGCTTTTTTTTTGCACTGGGAATTGAACTTATGACCTCATGCTTGCTACGCAGGCACTGTGTCACTGAGCTATATCCTCGGCACATACCAGCTTTTCAACGTGACTAGTTTGTGCGACTTATAAACTGTTTTTTTTTTTTTTTTTTTAAGTGTAAGGATCAAACCCAAGAGTATTCTACTACTGAGCTACATTCTAAGCTCTTTTTATTTTATTTACTATTCTGTTTAGTGAGAGTCTGTCTCAAAATAAAAAAGAACTTTCTGACTCTTGCAGAAATAGGCACCTCCAAAAGTATGTGTCAAACTTGCCAACTTGCTTCAGGTAGCTGAGATTGTAGGCACACACCACTGCACCTGGCATAACATTTTTTTTTTTTAACCTATTTCTTCATCTTCATTTCACTTCATTTCTTTTCTTCTTCCTTTTTGTGGTCTGGGGACTGAACTCAAAGCCTGTGCTTACAAAGCAAATGCTCTACCACTGAGCTATTAGCCCCAGTTCTTTTTCATTTTGAGACAGAGTTTCACTGAATTTCTCAATCTAGCATCAGGTTTGTAATCCTTTTGCTTCAGCCTCCTGAATAGCTGGGATTACAGGTAAATGGTATTATACTACACTCAGCCTGCTTGGTTTTTTTTTTTGTTTGTTTGTTTTGGAGATGAAATCCAGGATCTTGAGCATGTTGAGTGAATGCTTTACTACAGAGTTACATTCCCAACCCTCCACCCAGTTTTCTTTTTTTTTTTTTGACTCTTGTTTGTTTGTTTTGGTAGTGGCATTGAACTCACGACCTTGTGCTTGCCAGGTTAGGCACTGATGCTGCTGAGCTAAATCCCCAGCCCTGACCCAGTTTTTTTAAGGAAAAAAAAATTCACAGATTCGCAGAGTATGGTTTCGGAATTCTAAGTTTTGTACATTGTAAGCTAGACCAGTAAAATGTAAAAGGGCAGTAGACAGGCATGACACAGTGGTGCTAGTAAATGTAGCAGTTATAATTTTGTGGTGTTTTTTACTTTAGCAATATTGAGGTTTGAACCTGGGGCTTCATACATGTTGGGTATGTGCACTATGGCTGGGCTACATCTCCAGCCAACATTATACAGAATACTTGTGATGTAATACGTTGGATACTATTTCAGGATCAGATTTTTTATTTTTATTTATTTATTTTTATTTTAAAGAGATTAAGACAAAAAAGGACATAACAAAGCAGATCAGATCAGAACAATGCAAGCAACACAGCATTTTATCACAAGACAACCCATGATTAACAGTAACTACCATAATATCTCTTTCTTTGAAATAGTTGAGCATAGCTTCATATACGGTAGTATCAAATTTAACAAAACAGTATAAAATCATTCAAGAGAATGAAAGCATTACAGGGCTTTCAGAACCCAATAGAGAATGAACAATGGCTACTATATTATCTCATTTTCCATAGAAAATTTGTTTATACAGGATCAGATTTTTTAAAAAAGCAAACTTTAAAGTACACAGTCCCCACTTCTCCTTCTCTCCCTCCCACTTTCTGTTTTTCTGGTAGTGCTGGGGATTGAATCCAGGGCCTTTCTACTGTGCTATTATATCACCAGCCCTTTTCTTCTTTTCTGTCCTTCCTTCCCTCTTTCTTTTGTTCCTTCTTTCTTTCTTCCTTTAGTACCGCACATCAAACTTGCACCTTCATGCCTGCCAGGCAGGCACTTATGCCACTGAGCTACGTCCCTGGCCCTAAGATCTTTGAAGACAATTTTTTTTTGTACCAGGGATTGAACTCATGACCTGGTGCTTGCCAGGTAAGCACTTTTGCCGCTGAGCTAAAATCCCAGCCTCTCAATTTCAAATAAATAAATGATGGTGTGCTTTGTGAATTTTAAATGACATTAATATTGAAGAAGTATCACCATCATTTGTGAGAAACTATTTTATGAAATGATACAGGAATTTGGAGAAATTCTTGCTTATTTAAATTATATTCTTCTTTTTTTTTTTTTTTTGTCTTTTTCCTTTTTATCGGTACCAGGGATCGAACTCACGACTGCCTGCTTGCAAGGCAGGCGCTTATGCTGCTGAGCTAAATCCACAGCCCCTATATTCTAAATGCAATTACACGCATCAAATTTCTTTTTTTGTAGGTCTTTCAAGGACTCACACTATTTTGTATCCAAAGTGCTCCACTTAGACCTAGCAACAGACACCAGAAAGTCCAGTCTCTGTTTTCTAGTGCTCAGTACAGCAAATGCCATGTTCACTAATCGCTTAGGTACAACAGGTGAAAAAAAATTCACTGCTAAGACAAAAAGTAAGACTTTTTTTTTGGTAGCAGAAATATTGAACTCATGACTTTGCATTTGCCAGGCAGGCCCTGTGCCACTGAACTATATTCTCAGCCCCTAAAATAAGAAAACTTTTAACTGGTTGCCTTTCCCACAAATACATGATCCATTGCAGCAGTGGAAAGAATTATCATCACACAACAAGAATCCTTGAAATAAAACAAAGCAAGGACACACAGGGTAAGCTATACTTACTTAAGAGAGCCTGACAGTTTGGGCTGCTGAAGAAGTTTGTCTGCGTGATTCAAAGCCATCAGGTTATCACCCAGTGCGAGGGCCACATATGCGCTGCAAGCCAGTATAGAGCACCTAGAACATAAAGGGGTAGGGGCTGAAACCTTAAAATTGGACAATGGGTATATCTGCTGCATGGGAAAGAATGCCCTATTTATAGCAGTGACAAGCTGGTCACCAGGGAAGAAGAGAATGGTAAAAAAAAAAAAAAACCATGATAACCACCACCATGCAGGGTGTAGTGGCATATGCCAGTGATTCCAGCACTTGGGAGGCAGAAGCAAGCAGATCACTGTGAGTTTGAGGCCACCCAAACTACATAATGAGACCCTCTTTCAAAAAAACAAAAAATGAAAGACAAACTAGCTGGCAAAAAACAAAAAACAAACCACCACCTGCAGCAGTTCAGTCAGTTAGGTAAGTCATCTTTAGTGTCTGTCCAAAATATGACCAAATGAAGTTACTGAAGAACCATCTGAGCTTAGCTCACTACACAGTGCTATTCTCCTCTGAACCTATTAAGGTGTCAGTGGTTATTGGTCAGCAACAACATTAAGGGTAGCTTTAGGGCTGGAGAGACAGTGGTGAAGTCCTGACCTGGCACAAGCAAGGTCTTGTCTTTGATCCCTTGCAACACACACACCTACAACTTAATCCATAGCTAGGCAATAGCGCATGCCTTTAATCTCAACATTCTGAGAAGCTGAGGCAGGAGAAGTTCAAGTTCATGTCCAGTTGATGAAAGTTAGTGGGTTGGTGACATCTTGTCTCAAAATAAGAAAGGGCTAGGGTGGGGTGGGAGCTTAATGTTAAGTCCCTGAATTCAATCCCAGTACGAGGGGGAAAAAATCCAGTTACTGTTATTTCATGAATATTAAAGGGAAAAAGCCAGGATAAAAAATATATATGAATATAAAAATTTAAGGTACACGAATTTTGCTAAGTTGGGTGCAAACCTAAGTTTGTTCAGTTTTCTACTTCACATGAAGCTCAGTTTATTTAGCACAAGCCTTGCTCTGGGAGCAGTGGTGCACACCTGTAACACTAGCCTGTAGGTCACTAGAGTCAGAAAGGTTCTCCTTTAAAGGAAATACAGGCTCTCAACTCCATGCAGTCAGGTGCTTATGTTGCTAAGCTAAATCCCTGGCCATGGACTCTCAACTCCTAACACAGAAAAGTAAATGGGCCCTGGAGAAGGCACTAAGTGCCTGCCTTGCAAGCAGGCAGTCGTGAGTTCGATCCCCGGTACTGATAAAAAGGAAAAAGACAAAAAAACACAAAAGACAAAAAAACAAAAAAAACAAAAAAAGAAAAAAATGGTGTGGAGTTCAAGATCCAAAGTGGTCAGACAGATTCTCTGGATCTGCCCCATAGACTCCCACTCACTGCTTGTCACATCCTGTGACACTGCTTCTGACTGATTCACAACACTGTCAAGATACCCTGCAAATACAATACAAAGTTTATATTCTGACTTCTAGGCATATATTACTTTTTCTTTTCTTTCTTTTTTTTTTTTTGAGACAGGGTCTTGCTCACCATGTAGTTCAGGCTGGCTGAGAATTAGGTAGCCCAAACTGGCCTTGAACTTGCAGTGATCCTCTTGCCTCAGCCTCCTGCATGCTAGGATTATTTGTGTGCCACGAAGTCTAGCTAGGCATATATAATTTAGTACTCCTGCTTGTCCTTTGTTTTTGAGAGCAAGTCTTGCTATGTAGGTCAGGCTAGTTTTAAATCATGACCTTCCTGCTGGTTTTAAACTCATGACTTCTTTGGATTACAGGCAGGCACCATCACATTCAGTTCTAACTTGTGATTTAAAAAGGATGAAAAGAAAATTTAACCATAACACTACACAGATATATTGGTACTTGATGGGTTCTGCTCACGTGAAGCTCTGCCAGCCTCAGTGTGGTATCTGCCCAACATGGCAGTGGACTGACTCTAAAGATGACAGCATGTCCCTTCAATATTAACTTCTGTGTTCTTCTTTCAAGCCGAAATTGAATTTCCCGCTTTTCAGGTGTGCCACAGTTCCCCCAATCAGCTGTCAATACGTTATTCTGCCTGTCCCTTCAATCTCTACCCCCATCAAACCTAATAACAGCCTGCATTTCTTTGTCTGCCTTGAAGGGATCTTGTACTCTTTTGCATCCCTCACGTGCCTGTAATAAAATCCTTTTCCTTTTTTTTCCATCCTTGCTTCTCTGTCATGCGAAGAAAAAAACCTAACAGTACTAACTATAGTTTTATTTATTTTTTTCTTTTTTGAGACAGTCTTGCCTTGTAGTTCAGGATGGCCTTGAACTCATGGCAATCCTCCTGTATAGGCCTCTTAGGTGCTGGGGTTACAGGCATACACTTCCATGCCTGGCCTGAGTGAGTGATTTATTATTCATTTACTCATTCATTTACTGGAACTGGGAATCAAACGTAGAACCTCATGCTTGCTAGGCAGGAGTATATAATTTTAAATGTAACTGTTCACAGAGGAGAGTAATGTAAGTGCATGTAAGTAGTATCCCTTCCAAAGGGATACTATATTTCTTTTTGTCTTTTTTGTTTTTATCGGTACCAGGGATCGAACTCATGACTGCCTGCTTGCAAGGCAGGCGCTTATGCCGCTGAGCTAAATCCCCAGCAGTATATATTTCTATAAAATAGCACATTAACTCATAATAGACTCAATAAAATAATCATTCTGTCAAAAATAATTAAGTGAAAATCATATTTTGGGGTCTAGAAGTATAAACCAGTGGTAATGCACTTGCCTAGCATGCACAGGCATGTGGGCTCAATCCCCAACACTGTGAAAAATGGAACAAGCAAGCAAAGAAAGCAAGCTAGGCATAGTCACACATGCCTGTAATCCCATCACTCCAATTCTGAGGTGAGAGGTTCTAGGTTTGGGTTAATGGCAAGTTCAAAATTGCTCTGCACTATAACAGGACCTTGTCTATCTCCTACCAAAAGACAAAAACAAAAACAAAAACAAAAACCTGGCCAGGTGTGGTGGCCTGTAATTCCACCACTTGGGAGTCTGAGGAAGGAGGATTGCTCAATTTGGGCTGGAGCTACATAGTGAGTTCAAAGCCAGCCTGACTACATAGTGAGACCTGTCTCAGAAGGACAAAACAAAACAAATACCTCCTTCTAAAAAAACCCCAAACAAAACAAAAGTATCTTTGAGGTTGGCATTATGATCAAGGAACATTAGGATTAAACAAGTTTCAATGCCAAAGTCACCCCATCATTTATGCTCCCTTTTTCATCTATCCCAAATCTCTCCCACATGCAGCTTTTTCTTTCTCCTAGAACATGACAATTCCTACAGACAGAAACACTTAAGAAATGCATATGGCTCTGTCTACTAAGCTCCTGGAGAATCACTTCACTTTTGATCATTACTGCTTAAAATACGTCCCCTCCCCAACACACACACACACTACTTTGAGGCACTGTCCAATCTGCTTTACCAACCATTCAGCGGATCTGACAGTTCAGCAGACCAGAAGAACTCTCCCCAGGGAACAGATATAGGTGCTTCTCCCTGGGAAAGACCCAACAAAACCCTACTCTTCCCTCCTAGGTTCTCAGACATCAACCCCTGAAAAGGAAAGAGAGAAAGAAAAAGGGAATTGTTTTTTCTTTTTGCTTTTAGCCTAAATTACAACTATGCAAGACAGTGTATTAAAATATGTAAAGTTAGGGGATGGGGATTTAGCTCAGCGGCATAAGCACCTGCCTTGAAAGCAGGCAGTGGTGAGTTTGATCCCTGGTACCGATAAAAATGAAAAAAAGCCAAAAAAAAAAAAAAAAAAAAAAAAAAGTAAAGTCCTATAACCTGAGTTAAATTTATCTAATCCAAGTATCTGAAATACTAACACTTACTAAAAGAAGCTAGGATGGAGGCTTGAGATTTAGCTCAGCGGCATAAGTACCTGCTTTGCAAGCAGGCAGTCGTGAGTTCGATCCCCGGCACCGATAAAAAGGAAAAAGACAAAAAAAAAAAAAAAAAAAAAGAAGCTAGGATGAGTAAAATCTAGTCAGTCAGTATTTGTCAAAGGAAAATAAATTTGCAGTGAAATCTCGTGGCAAATATTACTTGGAAAATGACTACAAATATTCAATGAGGTAACTTCTTTTAACAAACTGAAGATAGTGCTAGATATTATTGCTGCAATTTTTTTTTTGGTACTAGGGATTGAACTCACGACCTTGTGCTTGACAGGCAGGGGCTTATTCTGCTAAGTTAAATCCCCAGCCTGATAAGTGTTAGATTTTAAAATTAAAAAATAGAAAAACACCTCAATCTTATTCCATTTATCTACAATCCAGGAAAATGTTAAACATGTCCATTTTTGTTGGGTGTGGTAGTGTCTATAAATCCCAACATTTGGGAGGCTGAGGCAGGAAAATTTTGAGTTTGAGGCCAGCTTGGGCTGCATAACAAGTTCAAGGCCAGTCTGAGGTACACAGCAAGATCCTGTCACAAAGTGTAAGTTTGTTACACTTACAATTTTTCCCAATAGTATGAGTATATACATTGTTAGCAGAGGAGCCTTTACCATGCATGTACAATTTAGGGTAGTATGGGAAATATTAAATTCTAACACCTTTTTTCAGAGGAAGGGACAAGTTAAATGTGGAATGCATTATGTGGAGAGAAGCTAGTAAGATAAGTAGTATACTTTGAGTGCTCTCCTGCAGCCTGTTGGTTGCCTCTATTTGTTTCAAGTTCTAGAAATGCTAAATAAGTCTTCATTCTTTGAGATAGCCCTCTGAATGCCTGAAGTTATATTTTCAGATTAAGATTACCCTTAGACCATTTATTCTGCATCTGTTCAGTAAATATTTGAGAAAAAAATGAGAAATGTTCTTTGAACATCTTCAAAATAGTGAAAACCCACAGAATGCTATAAAACATTGATGAGTTACACAGCCTCTAGGAGACTGTTAGGACGTTCCCAGAAAGCCTGTGTTCAGAGGCAAGGTTTTGGGAAGGTGAACAAACATGGGGCTGTTGTACTCATTTGGAGCTGACCATGTTACAGGAGGCAGAGCCCAGTTGAAGAGTGACCATGTCACTGGGGTGTGGCTCTTAGGCTGTCTCTCTGGCTTTCTTTCTCTGCTTCTGGACTGCCCAGGCTGGAGCAGGTATGCTCTGTCACACCTTTCAGGCTTGGAGCCAGGAGAATGTGAGGGGTCTGTCTCATGTCCACTCCCTCTAGAGTCCTGGGGTCGAGTATTTTGTACCATGAATGGAACAGCTAGTATAGAGACTTCCATCTAGAATACATGAAGAACTATTACATCGCACTACAAAAGATGAATCTCTTTAAATGTGTAAGAAGGGGCTGGCAGTGTAGCTCAGTGACGTTCTTGCTCAGCATTCAGGAAATTTGAGTCACACCACCATAAAAAAAAAAAAAACTATAGGCTGGGGATATAGCTCAGTGGCACAGCATCTGCCTAGCAAGCTCTGGAGACAGTGAGTTAATTTCCCAGTACGAAACAAAAACAAAGGCTGGGGATTTAGCTCAGCGGCATAAGCGCCTGCCTTGCAAGCAGGCAGTTGTGTGTTCGATCCCTGGTACTGATAAAAACAAAACAAAACAAAAACAAAAACGAAACAAAAAAAAGAGGGCATGGTGACATACATCTGTAATCCAGCACTCAGGAGGATTGCTGTGCATTCCAGTCCAGTTTAGGCTACAAAATGAGTTCAAGGCTAGCCTGAACTGTAGAGTGAAACTCTGTCTCAAAACCAAAACAAAAAAAAAAACTAGTAAAGCATTTCAATTAATGTTTTTCAAGGAATGTTTAAGTACATTAAACTTTGCTTCATTTGGAACTTCAGGAAAATGCGTATGAAAGCCAGTAAGATATCCTTTGCACCCATAACATACGATAAAAAGATGGGCTTTCTTGCTAGAGCAGGGCCAGGGGTTGTCTCTTTGTCTCTCTGCATCTGCAGGGATGGCAGTGTGGAAGTCACTCATGCTTCCTGATCCTGAGGGATAGGCAGACATAATGGCACACAGCCCAGTAACTTGGAGACCTGCAACTCCTTTTGCTGAGCCCACGTGGTCTGCAAGGGGGTCACGGAGGCCCTGAAGACCAGTTCTGGCCTGCAGAAGGTGGCCACCTCTATGCACTGCCCTCTGTAGCAGCAGCAGCACTGTGTTGCTTAGTGAGAAGCTTGGGATAGTGAAGAGGAAGTGGACTCCCCAACCAGAGTGCCCATAAAGCCACCTGAGCTTCATGGTCTTTTGGAGATACAGTACTAACTATGTTTTTTAGGCTGGGCCTCAAACTTGCTGAGATCTTCTTGCCTCAGCCTCCCCAGTCTTGGAATTATAGGTACGAGTCACTAAGCCTGGATCTAGAGGATACAGTCTGGGCAAATAATTTGATTATATGCTGTACAAGTAACCTGAAGCTGATAAAATACAGAATTTCTAGGGGGTGGTGGTGGTACAGGGTTTGAGACAGGGTCTTGTTATGCAATTCCTGCTGACATTGACTTTACTATGTAGCCCAGGCTGGCCTCAAACTCACTGAGATCCTCCTACCTCACCCTCACCAATGATGGTTTTATAGGCATGTGCCACCCACCATGCCTAAGATTTTTTTGTTAAGTAAACAAAAGTTTACTTGAGAAAGTGAAAGTAAAGTGTGAGGGAGAAACTGGCTTTGCAGAGCAAGAATCACTTTGAAGTTTTAAAGTCATAGTATTTAATTTTAGATTTCAGAGTATGCACATTGATACATTTTCTCAACTGAATGAAATGAATGGCTTTGTGCAGCTTTGAGTACTTCAGGAACCAAACCACTATTTTAGTGTATGTTTGTCCATCTGTCTATTCATTTATCCTCTTCCTGATCCATGGTTTTATTTATTTTCTACCACGTTGGGGACTGAGCTCAGAGCCTTCAGCACGCCAGCAAACCCTCTATCACTCAGCTATACCTCCAGCCCTGATTTGTGTGATATTAATGTCTCTTAAATTATCTGAGCCTTACAATTAAAAGGTTTAATTGATTTCAGAGACATTTTCCCAATTTGGGGACAAATTTTTGTTTCAAATGTAAGAATATTTTTTAAAAGCTACACTGATTTTAACAAAGATTCCATACTGCTTCAACTGTCTCCTGTCTTTGGAAAACATAAATGTATCTTGGAGAGGGAAAATTTTTCATTCATTTTCATTTCTGTACAAATGAACAAACTGACAATACTCAAGAGACTATGAGCCCATATCATAAGAAGTGACCATCAGATAATGATAATTTTTGCATATTACTTATGTTAGAAAAATTGGGCTTTGTATTGGTGTCTTGGGTATTTTAGAGCACAAAGGGTGAAATATAACTATCCATAAAAACTAAACTTTATACTAATCACATACATTTTCAATCACATTAAAGAATTCAGCTCATAAATAGATGAACTCTCAAAGAATTCCATAATCTTATGAAGAACCAATACACTCAGGCTTCTTATGTAAAAGACAGCTGGCTCCTGTCATAGACTTCCTTTAACACTGCATTGTGGGCTTTCTCTCTCTCTCTTCTTTTTCTTGAGATGATGTCTTGCTGCGTATTACAGGCTGGCTTTGAATTTGTAGCAATCCGCCTGCTTTAGACTCCCTAGTGTTAGGATTACACAGGCATGTGCCACCATGCCTGGCCATCCATTGTGAAATTATGGCACAAATCTTCTAGGACTTCTTCTCTTGGCCATTGTTCCACATTTCTGCTGCTATAGTCTTGCACAGTAATCCTTTTTCTGTATATACCTTAAGGTCCCTTCTATCTTATTATGTTTCCTTTCTTCCATCTGCTGTTAAAAAAAAAAGTTAATATATACAGAAGAATCCAAGTTTGCCTTATTTTATAATGTGAAATTCACTTTATTTATTATTGTTATTATTTTTTCTGGTACCGGGGAACAAACTCACAACTGCACACTTGCAAGGCAGGCGCTTATGCCACTGAGCTAAATCCCCGGCCCTATTATTATTATTTTTTTTTTACATTACCACTCAGAACAAAATCTAGCACTAAACTTAGTTATAAGGTTGGAATTTGACTGCTATTTTGTTATCTAGCAATAGTGGGGAATGAACCCACGATGTTCCCCAGTCCTTTTTTTATTTCGAGATGGGTCTTGGTATATCACTAAATTGTCCAAATTGGGCTCAGATTTGGGAATTCTCTTGCCTCAGCCTCCTAGAATGCTCAGATTTTGTTTTCTCATTTTGCTTTCTTCAGCCTTCTTCTGTTTACAAAACCTGTTCAGCTTATTAACATTCGTTTTATTTCACACACTGAGGTGTTGCCTAATTCTATCACCAACAAAGGGCATAAAAATAAAAAATGCTCATTTTAATAGGTGCAGTGCTCCTTTTGCTTACATACTCACTTCAAGTTTTCTAGTTCCTGTTTTCTCAATGGAGAAGAGGGTGGAGCTGGAATCAATTTATCTCCATCATGGCTTTTACTGCTGAAATAGACAGATTCTTATTAGGAAAAGAAACAAATGTTAAATCTGTCTCTCTCGCCCCATTCCCATGCAAGTGTTCATGATAACATATGAGTCAAAATAAATTTGGTATCACCACTATGTTAAAACTACTGGTGTATTGGTTTATTTCCCCAGCATACAATAGTGTTTTTAAAAAGTCTCTTAACTTGTGGGGCCCTGAAGAGCACACCTGAAATCCCACCTACGTAGGAGATGAGACAGGAGAAGTACAAATTCAAGGCCAGATTAGAAAACCAAGTAAGATTCTGTCTCACAATGAAAGTGCTGAGAATGTAGAGCTCAGGGGCAGAATGACCTAAATTTGATTACCATTACCATAAAAGCAAAAACCCCAAAACAACAACAAACAACCTAAACCAAACCAAAAACTGGAGTGGAAGCTAAGGCAGGATTCTTTTGAGTTCAAAATCAGACTGGACTACATAGGGAGACTGTCTCAAAACAATCAAACAAATTCATTTTATTTCAAAGATAAGAAGAAAAAAAGAAAAACAAAACAAACAAAAAAACCACAAACCAACCAACTACCTCCACCATCAGAAACAACAAAAAAACCCACAATAAAAAACTGAAAACATGCCTATTATAAAGGAAATCACTCCAATATTTTCACACATTTTAAAAAATATTCACATTGTTTTTTATCAACTACAGTAAAAAATCTAACTGGTTGACATGGGTAAATCCTTCCTAATTTAAACATCTATCTATCAATCAATCAGGGACAAACCTTTCATAATTTAAAAATTTGTCTGTCATTCGTTCATTTTTTCTTTCTATAGTTAAGACAGGTCTCTCTGGAAAGTTCATGCCATCCTTGAACTCACTATGTGGCATCTTCTTGCCACAGCCTTCTGACTTCTGGGATTACAGATGTGTGCTCTCCCACCCTCTCAAATTGCTAAATTAAGATGGTCTCAAATTCCTGATCCTCCTGCCTCAGCCTCTGTTACGGTTTGTGCTCAGATGGTCCCCCAAGTCGGATGAAATCATGGATGCAGATGAGTCTGGTATTTGTGACTGACTTGTTGTCTGGCACTGGGATTGGTGGTGTAAGTGCTGCACCCACCCAAGGGTGCAGCTAACATACAGTGTAAGGGTGGGAAAAAGGTGCATCTTCCCTCTTTTGCTCTGTTTGCTCTTGCTGTTTGTGGTGGCCATAAACGGCTGTCCTGCCATGCCACCCTGTCTTGGAGCCAGTTGAGTATGGACTAAAACCTCCAAACTGTAAGAAATAAACCTTCCCTTCCTTCATATTGGGTGTTGAGTATTTTTGCATCGCAATGAAAAAAAAGTAAATAAGATAGCCTCCCAAGAGCTGAGGTTAATTGCCTATGTCACAGATCTTTTTTTTTTTTTTGAGACAGAGTCTTCTTTACTACTCTAGGCTGGTCTAGAACTCCCTATGCAGCCCAGGCTGGCCTCAAACTTGTCACCCTCCCTTCCTCAGCCTCCCAAGTGTTGCAATTACAGGCAATGTATCACCAAGCCTGCCTCCTGAGTTTTCTATAATAATTTAAAAATTATAATCAAGAAAAAAATTGCTGGGGCAACCCATTCAGGACCCCTTGTGTCTCTTAGGAGTTATTCCTATTCTCCATTCCTCATTCCTACTGTCTAATAAAATCTAAAATTCCTACTTTTAATCTCCAATAACAGGAAAAAAAAAATACTTGCCAGCTTTGGTGGTGAACACCTGTAATCCCAGCACTTGGGAGGCCTTGGAAGATCTCCATGAGTTGGAGGCTAGCCTGAACTATAGAGACACTGTCAAAAAAAAAAAAGTTGGGGGTGGTGGTGCAGGATACAGCTCAGCAGCACAGTGCCTGCCTGGTAAAGTGCAAGATCCTGAGTCTGATTCCCAGTACAAAAAAACAAAAACAAAACAGACGAACAAAACCAAACCACTTCGCATAAAATGCAGAACTTTATCTAGTGGTATTTATTTTGTTACTATTAAGTCAATTCTCTCAATTTCTGTATTTGGTGTGTGATTTTTACTTTATTCCAGAAAACAAATATTTGGTGGGTTAGCAGTTTACCGTATAACTAGAGAAAAAGCAAAGTATAACAAGAAATGAAGACATTTTAGGGTTTAAGTATTTTCAGAAATGTTAACAGTAAAGCTATCTTTGATAATCACAGGGCTTTTTTCTTGGTCTTTTTGAGACAAGGTCTCACTATGCAGTTCAGGCTAGCTTTGAACTCACTGTGTAGTCTGGGCTGGTCTTGAACACTCAGCGATCGTCCTGCCTCAGCCTCTGTACTGGGATTACAGGAGTATACCACCATGCCTGGCTGCTATTTCCATCTTTTCCTTCAAGAATTTTTCCTTATTTAATCTTCATTTTATTTTTGTCTTCTGGAAATATAATCCCTTTTGTTATGGCTTAAAACAGAATTTTGGAAATTCAGGCTAAAGCTTTTAGGAGTTTTTAAAAGATGATGTTAACTGAAGAGGCAAGAGACAGGGCTCAGCTTACCTGCAAGTTTCGCTGCTCTCGCTGTTCTCTGGGTTCCCTCCGAGCTGACTGTTGCTTTTAGAGCCATTTTCCTGCTTTGGATCTTGCTGTTCTTCAGATAACAGCAACAAGGCATTTCTGAGACAAATGGCTGCAAACTCCATACTGGCTACAGGAATGGCTGAAGACTGCCCGTCACTTAAAAGAAGAAAACCAAATTGAGCTAACTCGAGAAGATGGAGAGAGACAGGAGAATCTTCTATTATCAGGAACAAAACCAATGAGCTGTTAATGAAATTGGTTTTTTGGAGATAAGAGTTTTTGTATGTAGTCCAGGCTGGGCTGGCATAAAATTTGTTCTTTGGTAGAAATTTTAGTTTATTTTCTAGGTTTTGTGTGTGTGTGTGTGTGTGTGTGTGTGTATACCGGGAATTTAACTCAGGACCTTACACTTGCCAGGCAGGCACTGCTCCACTGAGCTAAGTCCCCAGCCTTCTTTCTTTTTTTTATAGTGCTGGGGAGCAGATTGTATTAGCTGATCTTATTATACTACATGTTCTGACAGGCAGCTGAACACAGGGGCATCAGGCATGCTAAGGCAAGTGTTTTACCACTGGGCTACCACCCCAGCAGAAATTTTAATATGGAGAGTTAAAAGAGAATGCTAAAGAATCCCAATCCAGAGGCTGGGGATTTAGCTCAGCGGCATAAGAGCCTGCCTTGCAAGCAGGCAGTCGTGAGTTCGATCCCTGGTACCGATAAAAAGGAAAAAGACCAAAAAATAAGTATAAGAATCCCAATCCAGAATCGTATATATAAGATGTAAAAAAAGCATAAATAATGAATTTTAAGTAAGTATGTACATTATATAAACCAAGAATGACTGACTACTACAGTGCCAGTACTAATAATGCTCAGAAGATCTTCAAACAAGGAAAAATGTAATGAAGGTCAGGACCAGTAAAGTAATACTGTGGAAGGGGAAAAATATTTTCACATTTGAGCCTTGTTTTGGTTGATCTTTGCTTTTAAAAATAGTTCTGGTTGGGTGTGGTGGCGCACACCTCTAATTGCAACAGTTGGGAGGCTGACACAGTAGGTCTGCTAAGAGTTTAAAACCAGCCCGTTACATACTGAGGCCCTGTTTCAAATCGACCAACAAATAAAAAAAACCCCAACAAACAAAAAACAAAGAAACAACCAAAATCCTTCTCCCAAAGCAATACTTGCATATATCCTGTACACATCCTCTCATATACTTCAAATTGTCTTTAGCGTACTTGTTACAACTAACAGAATGTGAATGCTACCTACACAATGTGAATGCTACCTAAGTGGTTATATTGCTTGTGGATATAACAAGAAAGTCTGTACACATTCCATAAGGATATAATTTCTTTCTTCCGAATATTTTTCACCTGTGGTTGGCTGGACCCACTGACAGGGAACTCACAGAAGGGAGCAGCTTTGGGCTGACAGTCATCCTAGAGCCAATCTAGCATGGATCCTGAGATGTGACTCTCTATGAAGAGAGATACCATGACACCCTCTTCTGGATATTCTGAGCAATGACTCTGAATCAACCACAGTTTCTTAGGGCATCAATTTCAAGCACACACGGAACAGTAAACCAAAATGGTATCAGATAACATGCATTATGACCCATCTTTGGGTCGGTTTACTGAAGTGGTAATAAAACCTAGTTACAAAGCAATCACTCCTTTGAAATGATGAATTCTAAGCATATTTTTAATGCATAAGTACATTATGTGAAACATTTAGTTTTTGCAAAATACTTACTTATATACTGTATTCTGTATGGATTGTGATGCCAGAACTATTTTACGATGATAGCCTTGACCAACGATAGACTGCACGATTCCCTTTTTACTTGGAAGACCTTTAGTTTCTTGTTCAGAAGTCTACAAAATACAAATCATTTCAAATAAATTTAAGGAAACTATAAGATACAATGTGAGACTGGGCATGGAGGTACATACCTGTAACCCCAGCACTTAGGAAAGCTGTGAGTTTGAGGTCAACCTGGACTATACAGTGAGTTCAAGGACAGACTGAACTACAAAGCAAGACCCTGACCTGCCCCCTCAAAAGATATAATCTAAAAAATGAACTACTTTTCACAATTACTCTAAATTTAAGAAAGTTAATTTTCATTAATGTGAGTTTTTTGTGATAAAGGAAATGTTTATTGGAGGAAAGAAGTACATGAAGCTGAAAACAAAGTACATATACTTTGTTAATATGAGACTTGAGGCAATTTTAAGGAAAAAAGCCAATCCAAAAATGACTATTATTAGAATTATTTGTTTACATCATTCTACACTCCCAGGACCATGTTGCATGTTATGGGCATTTGGGCATCAGAGTAAAAATACAGTGTAAAAGAAAAAAGAGAGGCAGTTCTATCTTCTAAAACATTTTTTCAGCCTGGCATGGTGGCAGATGCCTATAATCCCAACACTCAGGAGGCTGAGGCAGCAAGACTGCTATTAGTTTAAACCTGGGCTACATAAGTGAGTTTAAGGACAGCCTGAACTACATAGAGGGACCCTGTCTCCAAACACTACTACCACTATCACCACCAAAAAACCCCAACTCTCCCTTCAAAAAATAAAAACAAAAACATTTCCTTGATTCTCCCACCCCCTAATTTTCTCTCTGAGATAGGGCCCTTACTAAATTGCTGAGTTGCCCAGGCTTGGGCTCAAATTGTGATCTTCTTCCCTTAGTCCCTCCCTTAGTCCTGGAGTTCTAAGCGTGCACCATCATGCCTCTTGTTGCTATGTAGTTCAGGCTGTCCTTGAATTTATGTCTGTAATTCATGGTGATCCTCCTGCCTCAGTCTCTTGAGTGCTGGAATTACAAGAATGTACCACCAAGCCTGCCTCATGCCTATCTTGAAACATAGATCAGGTTGAGAATTTAGCTCAGTGGCATAAGTGCCTGCCTGGCAAGTGTTGAGGTCATGAGTTCGATCCCTGGTACCAAAAACAAACAAACAAACAAACAAACAAACAACAAACAAACAAAAACAAAAAACCACAGATCTTTCTCCTCCTTACCTAAAAGTATTCATTAAACTTCCAGCAATATATAACCTCTAAGAAACTATCCACATTTAAGTTTATATGGGCATAATCCTTGCCTTCTAAGAATCTGAAATTCAACTGGGTGTGGTGGCACATGTCTTTAATCCCAGCAGTTGGCTGTGGCAGGAGGATCACTGTGAGTCTGAGACCAGTCTAGGCTACAAAGTGAGCTCAAGGGCAGCCTGAACTGCATAACAAGACCATGTTTCAAAAAAAAAAGGAGATACTTACTAAATTCCTATTTAATCTGAAAACAGTAAAGGCTACTTTTATATACATGTATGGTATATCTCCTCTTTCTATTTTTTAAAAAGTTTTTAAATTGTCTAATTCAAGGATAAAGAGTAAGTACAGGCTCCTTCAGTGAATGGATGTCCTGGATAATCCACTGAAGGATGATCACTTGGCCCCGCCTGGCGAAGCTGATATCCTTCCCGTACTGACAGAAATGATGGCAGCACATCTGGCCACATTTCTGAATCAGACCCTGCTAATGTAGCAAGAGCAAGAGCCTTAGTCAAATTTCCTCAGGTGGCTCCACTAGAGCTGCTAGTGTTGCTTCCAGGAATATAAGGAGGCAAAAGGAAGCAGCTCTCACACGTGTGTGTCCTTCAAACTTTTTCCAATTTTTACCCAGAATGCAGCACTGAAAGGTAATGCATGTGCACTGAGGCCACACTTCTCTCTTCACTCTAAATCCCTAGGGTACCTTTATGAGGGATCCCAACTATTCATCATACAGACACCCAAACTGCCTAGCACTGTGGATGTACCTCAGTGCTAGACTTGCTTAGCACCATAAAAACAAACTACAAATTCTCAAACTGGAGCTCATGAATAAGACCTTGTAGAATTAAATTCTTCCTCAGTGTTTTCATATTATGCAAAATTTTTTTGCCCTTTTGGTGCTAAAGACCAAAACCAGGGGCTTGCACTGAGTTACATGCTCTAACTTTAGTTTTTAACTTTATTACTGTTGTACTTACACATATAAGTTTTAATAAACAAGGAAATGCTTGTTTTTATTTTTTCAAATCTATTTTATTTCAAGGAGAAAACAAAACAAAACAAAACAAAAAAAAGGAGAAAAACTAAAAATTTCAAAACACAGCTTGGGCATGGTGGCACATGCCTATAATTCCAGCATTCAGGAGGCTGAGGCCAATGGATAGTTGCAAATTCGAGATCAGCCTGGGGCTACAAAGTGAGCTCAAGACCAGCCTGAATGGCACAGTGGACCCTGTCTCAATAAAAATGAAAATACATCAATCAGGGGCCAACAATGGTACCTACACTGTGTATTGTCATCCCCAAATCATCCAGAGCATAAGACATCTACATTCAGCTGTCTGAACAATACCCACACAAATCTTTCTCTTTAGTAACATGAGAGAAATCCGTAGTATAACTATTTTGACTAGTTTATATACACACACACATATATGCATATATATCTCACACGCACACATATGTTGTTTCATTCAGCTTCTCACACTAGTGAGACAATACGATGTTTACATGTGTGTGTTACTTATTTCACTTATGAGTACCGTCTCAAGTTGCACCCATGTATGTATAAAAGTCTCTAGTTTATCCTTCTTTATAGCTGAGTAGTACTCCATTGTATAAAAGCAACACATCTTTTTTTTAATCCATTCCTCAGTGGGTGGGCATTTAGGTTGTTGCTAAGATCAAGCTGTTATAAATTGTGTTGCTATAAACATAGGTGCACATATATTGCTTCCATAATGAGTTGTATAATGTGTGTAATTTATCAAAAATGCTAATCTAGTTTAACAAAAACAACACTTTTATACTGTACTCACTATTCAATTTGGCACCTTTGGCTTGTAGAAAGGGTGGATGACATGGAAGGTGGTTACTGTTTGGAAGGAGAGTTCCCTTCCATAGGAACATCGGAATCTGGCTCTCTGGTGTCCTTTTTCTCCTTGGGAGAGTCGGTAGCCCACTTGGACTGCTTCTGGCTCACCAGGCTCAATCTTTTCACAATTAAAAACTGGCCTAAGGTTGGTTATTTCTGTCTTTTCTTTAACATTGTTTTGTAGTATGACATGACATTGTCTTTAAGCAAGTGAATGCAATGAATGGATTTTTCTCTCTGGGTGGGTCCTCTCTTTTCTTTTTTTTTTTGTCTTTTTCCTTTTTATCGGTACCGGGGATTGAACTCAAGACTGCCTGCTTACAAGGCAGGCGCTTATGCCGCTGAGCTAAATCCCCAGCCCCCGGGTGGGTCCTCTCTACAAATGTTTACAGCTCTGTCCATCTTCTTTTTTTTTTTTTTTTAATTTAATTTTTTTTTATTTAAGCAGAAAAAGGGGAAAAAAAAAAACAGAAAAAGGGTACAAGTAATATAAAATTTAAAAAATAAACAGCAAGAAATCACTAGTTAATAGATTACATATTCTCATCTTAGAAATAGTTGTTCAAGTTACAAAATTGAAGCACATAAAGTGGACTTTCAAACAGTGAGAGTGCAAACAGTTTTGTTCATTGATCCAAAAAAACACTCAGTAATATGGTTATCTATCTTATACACTTAAACATATATGCAGTTATAACCTTTAGAGCACTTTCTTTTCTTTTTTTTTTTGTAGAATGACAATTACACATTTTGGGTTTTATTACTCCCACAGTTCTTATTATTTTTTTTGAAGAGAGTAAAACCAAATGCGACATATCAGAACAGAGTCAGTCAAATCAAAAGGATGGACATAATAGATAATGTAAAAACAAAATAAAAGGTGATCAACAATGGTTACCGTACTGCCTCTTGCTATTTTAAGAAGAATTGGCAGTTATAATAAAATTGAACTAAACAGTAAAGAATAAAACCAAAGCACTGGAGACATTACAGGATTTTAAAAGAAAATAATAGTCAATCGGAATGGGCATCATAATGATTCTTACTGTCGTCACAGTTATGCCTATACAGCAGAATAGAGGAAAATCAGTCAAAACAAGATGGTGAGGGCAATACAGGATTTCAAATCAAGTTAATAGGAAATCAAAGTAGGTTACTATAATGTATCCTGCTATTTTTTATTTTTCCCTTAATTAAAAAAATAAAAAGAAAAAAGTAAATAATTTAAAAAAAGGAGGATTGAGATAAAAGAGGGCATAACAGAACAGCGCAGGTCAAATCATAATCATTTAAGCAAACCAAGTGTTTCACCACAAGATATCCTGACAAAAATAGTTACCATAGTGTCTCTTTCCTTGAAATCTTTGAGTATAACTTCTTATATTGTAGCACCAAACATATCACAACACTATAAAACCATTCAAGAGAATGACATTATTACAGGGTATTTAGAACAAATTAACAGAAAATGAACAATGGTTTGTATATAAACTCCTTGTCTATAAAAGTTTTTGCTTATATTATCATATATAATAAAATCCAATAAGATACAACCTTTTAAGACTAATGGAGACTGAAGAATACACGTTTGATGGGACTTCAAAACAAGATGATACTAAATCAGCACTAGCTATTATGATGTCTTGTTTTCTCCTAAATTGCTGTTCCTACCTTCCGATCTTCTCTGCCTCATTTCTGTTGAGCTCTTTTTCTGTCGTTTGTTGTCAGTTTGTCATTCTTCATTTCATTTTCTGCTCCATTCATTGTGGCCTCTCTGCCACTATTTCTGGAATCTTGGTATTTTCTTTTTTTAGACTATCCTGCAGTATTCTCTGTAGAGTTGAATTAGTGGTTGCAAATTCCCCTAGTTCCTCTTTATCTGGAAGCACCTTGTTTTTCCATCAATTTCTAGGAACAGTTGTGCAGGATA